TTTCTTTTCGTTTTTGCATAATCAACATTTATCTTAAGTGTACTTTATTAAAGTTAGATGGATTTAATCGTGTTGTATATTTATTGCTTTTGTTTTCTAAATCGATATGTACCAAATCTGAACTTCAATTTGATGTTCAAACAGAATAGTTTCCGTTCAGTATGAAATAGCAACTTTTTATTTTTAAGGTTTCTTGTAGCACACTACTAAATATCAAGTAGACTTCCGCGAGACAGTCCTGAAAAATCATGTTTACTCTGTTCTGCAGGACAATCGAGGTCGTCCAGAAAATTTTTTGAGACGAAACAATATAGAAAAAAGCTGATGTACCGGATTCTTTTTTTTATTCTTATATCAAAACGTGTCGTATAAATCAAACTTTTTATTTCTAGCAAATATTTTAATATTTAAATAAATAACAGAAAAAGGAACTAGACAGCCACTCTCGAGCAAATCTCGAGTAGAAAAAACGGCTGACTGCACGAGTCGAAAAAAATGTCAGAAGGCTATCCTATACGACAGCTACTATTTCTAATTCTTAGACTTCCGTAGAAGAAATTATAATGAATGTCAGTCGCTTTCAGCTATCTTAGCTCAGTTGACAAGTTAAGAAATAATGAATCGAAACTCACTATCAACATACAAGGAAACAATTAGCTGTTAATTATCGTCTTCCGTATTTTTATAACCTTCGAACAGAGCCGAGTTTTTAAAAACCACATTTCAGATATCCACTTATCACATTCTCACGATCTCGACAAACGTTTTTCGCATTTTGAAATGATAGTTAGGTATGGAGAACGAGTGGCTGACTTGAGTCATGGCTAATTCGTCGAAAAGAAGAGGAAGAATTTGCCATGGCGACTTAGCAAGTGAAAAGAAATAAGTCGGTTACTACACTTTGTGCAATCAGCTGTGTTTCAACAAACGGAATTTGGGACATGAAAAAGTTTAGTTCCGCAGACTCTTCTATCAAGCCTGTAAACAATATATTCAACGGAGAATTTTACAATAGATAGTAACATATAGAAGCAAAGATCGGTCGGCAGGTAGACGACAAAAAACGATTTTTGCTTATATCTGAAAATTTTATAATAAGAGGGTATTTTCATCAGAATAAAAACACATCTATTGCTGCTAGACTGTTTTGCTCATATCGAATCGAACCCAATGATTCGGGTTGATTTAATAGAAATCAGTTATGTGAGTGGTCGAATCAAGACAATAAAATGTTGACACGTACGAATATGTATTTTTCTTATTCTTACCGTTGTTGAGATTTAAAAAGTGTCGGTCCAAAAACAATGCCTAAATTAACTGCTGACATTTGATTTTCTTGTTCACTTAATGATACTAAATGTAAATGTTTAAGTAAATAAATTAAAGCTTGTCTAGCATATTTTGAAATTTTTTGTTCAATTATTTCACGTAAATGTTCATTTATACGTGTTGATATTTGATTTGATGTCATATAAATTTCTTTTCCAATATTCATTAATTCATGTTGAATTATTGTTGCTGAATATGGTGATTCAACAATTAATAATAATGGTACAGGTAATTCACGTAAATATTTTTTTATTGCATTAGCTAATACAATAGGTGAATAATTATTTATTAAATCATTTTCATTTAATTCAACACCTTGTACAAATTGTTGACATAAATGATCAACTTTTGATTTAACACCTGATAAACGATAAATACCTTTTAATTTATGTCCTTCATGTTGTTCAATACATTGACAACAAATTTTAATAATATTTGGTATTTGTCGTATTGAATTATCATTTATTGGTAAAGAATTTTCTTGAATAGTACAAGGTGGTAATGAATGAATATAAGCACTATATGATGATGTTAAATCATTTTTTGATCTTGGAATATATGTTGATGATGAATGTGTTAAAGAATCAGTGAAACGAAAATATGTATTTAATGAATCAATTATTAAATTTTCTGTATTATTAATAAGTTTATTAAGTATAGTTAATGTTTCATATTTTGTTTCTTGAAGTTCTTTTCGTTTTAAATCAAAATCATTTAAAACTAATTGTATATTTGTTTCATTTGTTGAAAAAGAAGAATTTGCCATTGGAGTCATATGCATATTTGGTGGTGATGATGCTGTACGTTGAAGAGAACTATGTGGTAATAGCACTGATAGATTTGCTGAATGTGTAATAGCATCTGACGATGTTGATGATGATGATGAAGATGTTGGAAGATGCATGACTGATTTCGAATTTAAACGAGCTTCTTCTAATGTTTGTGATGCTTGTTGCTAAAGTTAGAAATTTAAAGAAATTAGGTCAATATTTTAAAAACATAGGAACTGATTCCTCCAATAGAAGACCTTCATGAAATTTTGTACACTTCGACATATTAGATGATCTATGATTAGAGCTCGTCAGATCCAGATTCGAATTCAGTCAAACTGTACTTTGATACTTTCAGTGAAATTTTCTAATCGAAATTGGATAGGCACCCCGAAGATACTAGATACTTCTTTTCGACTTTTGGTATTTGGTAACAAGTGCACCCTACACATTTTTAAGACGATTAGAGTCCATCAGGTTCAAAAACTCTGGAACCGGAGCCAGAAAAAATACTCCTACCTTTCGTCTACCTCGCAGCATGCGATGCCACCTAGTGACAGATTCAGTAGCTCGATATCTTCCGTACAACTAATACTAGCTCTGGACAGAAGGCTAACGTGACGCAGAGTTCTTGTACTCAATTGTTTGGGCTTCTCATACACACTACCTAACTATAAGAACAAGTGCATGTCAAAACGTAGTCAGCATGTTATCGAATAGGTGGTTCAAGGCAAACAGTCGTTAGTGACTAGTCCAGGGTCATTTCATGGCTGGTGATACTAACGTTGAAACATAGTACTTTGTAGATACGTATCGAACAACATAGTTACTCAGTCATAATGGCTGGATTTGGGACTAATCAGACGGGCTTTAACCAGGACAGTATTTTATCCAGATTTTCTCTTCCAGAGAAGTGATTTAAAATTTCGAGAGCATCGATCCGATCTTCGAAGGGGTGCCATTCCCACGCTAGATAAAACACTGATCCGGAATTTTCTGTTTATCTGATTGAATTACACTTACAAATCTTTTTAAACATTTATCCCATTGAATTTTAACTGTTTTTCGTACATTATCATGATATGTTCGCCAAGAATCAAGTTTCTATAAATAGAAACAAAAAAAGTAAATATCGAATATGTAATTTCGAAATTAATTAATATAAATAATTTACTCCAACAAATTCATGTGTTTGTAAAAGCATCCATGTTGATTGTATATTTGTATGATGTGTTGTATCTTTTTTTAATGTTTTTATCATTAAATCAATTCCAGGTAAAAAACGATATGTTGTTAAAAATGATGATAATGAACAATTATTAACTATTTTTGATGTTCGTTCAGCATGTTCAATTTCTTCAGTAGATCGTTCTTGTACATGATGCATTAATGAAAACATATATTTTGATAAATATTTTGCATGTTCATGTGCTATATCAACACCATCAGTACGTTTCATAAGTATTTCAAGTATAACATCAAGTTCTCGGTTTGAATTAACACTATCACTTTTATTATTAGGATCTATTGTATCAGAATTTGATGATGGAACAACGAAACGATTTGATATTCTTTAAATAAAAATATAAAATTTTTCTTCTTTTTTTTTCTTTTTTCGAAAATTTTCTTCATTTGATTACCTCGCTGTTAGAGAAAGTGCGAGTTGATCAATGACATGTGAAAATGGTTCAAAATTGTAATTTGTATTTTCAGATGAATGAACATCTAAATACATATATACATATATAAAAGCTTATCAGTACAATTTCTTTGAGACTATAATGTAGAACACACATGTGTTCTTTAGCCTCATTAGACTAATACAATATGTATTAAGAGAAAAATCTCTAGCAGACTATAGTTATTTTCCAAGGATAGTTGATCACCAGGAAAACGATCTGTCTTAATTATTTCCGCATTTCGAACAGAACTGTTTTAGAAAATATCAACAAATGTATCTCAGTTATACAATGTTCGAGAAGGTCAAGTCTTGCTGTTCATATCGTTGAGCAGCTTTTTCCGTTGCTAAGAAACTCTGGGAAAAGAGTCTGACATCTGTTGTCCTTGGTTGCTATGACAATGTACCCAAGGATCATTGACTTTTCTTCCCCTATGGTTATGGGGAAGGCTGGGGTACAAAACCTTGACTTAAGATTTACACTCACTATATTTTTTTCTTCGAAAAACATCATTTAAGTTGCAAAAAAATAAATAGAATATTGCTTTTTCTTTTTACCTTGTAAGAGATGAATTAATTTTGCAGCATATTCCAGTACATCAATTGAATCAATTAATTGATAAGTTTCAATAATATGTTTAAGAATTGTAAGTAATTGATTTAAAATTGTTGGCATACGTTCTAAATCTATAAACAATATAAATTAATGAAAATGTTGTTGTTGTTGTTGTTTTTTTGAATAGAAAAATCTTTACCTCTTCCATCAACTGCTTCTTTAAAATGAACCATAGCATCATTGAAATTTTCCAAATCGATTAATATATCGTCGTCTGTCATCTTCAAATAAAAAGAAAACAAAAAAAAAGAAATGAGAAAGAGAAAGATCTTCTAAGAATTTGAATTTCTTTTTTCATGCGAAGCATTTTTAAGTTTAAAAAAAAAACGAAGATAACACAATACACCAATATCAGTTTGCGTATGCCAATAAAAAAAACCTAACAAAATATACAACAGTAGACTCTAGATTATGTATTTTGTTTTCAATTAAACGGAAGAAATATTTGAATAGACTGTTTCTAGTTTTGCTGAATAATCACAGTAAAAACAAAAAAAAAAAGAAATTTTTTGTTTTTTACTGTTTCAATGTCCTATGATAACAGAAGAAAAGATTGATTAAACATATATTAATATACTGTTCTCTATATGAAAAATATATTCGTCGTTCAATCATTATGTACAATAACAACCATTAAATGTTCATCATTAATTGTTGTTGTACTTGAAAAATGAATTGATGGACAAATTATTTTTAAAATTTTTTTACTAAATAGACATGAGGGAAATATATGTATAACAGCCGTTTCTTGTCTAGATGAATGTTCATGATCACTATGATAAGTTGGATGAAATGGTATTGATATAACACCAGCTGCTTCTTTTCTATAAACAAAAACAAAGCAATATAATTCTATAGAATAGAATGAAAATAAAATTTAAATTGTTTTCGATTGATCTATTCTGATAGATAGTTGGAAGACAATACTATATGCAGAAACTATGTGTCTTTATACTTACTCAACTAAATAAGAAATCAAATGAGAAAGTAACGAATCATCATCATCATCATCATCATTATTATTATTATTATTATTATTATCAGTATCATCATTATCTATTTTTTCTTTTTTTATTTCAAGATGTTTTTTATCATTATCTCCCATATGTGATGGTGAAGTTATTTCATTTTTTATTTTTCCACTTGATATTTGTTTTTCAATTGAATTTAATGATCCATTTAAATTATTAATTTTAGGTGTTGCAATAAGTATAGAAAATTTTGTTTGATTTGCAGGTGTTAATTGTTTGCGATTATTAACTGATGTTAAACCATTTAATGAATGACCATTTATATTTGTATTTGAATTATTTCCTGTTATAGCTAATGCATTTGTAACACTATTACGAAGTTTTCGTTCTAAATCTTCAAGTTTATGTTGATCAAGACGAAGTCGTTGAGTAATTTTTAATTCAGTTTTTGCTGCAATTAAATCACCTGGTTGACCTAATTAAATAAAAATGTTAAATATTTTTAAACAAAAAAATAAAATAAATCAATACCAAGTAAAATACTAGCCAATGTTGGACTTCCAGCAAGAAAATGCATACGTGCATCATAAGCATGAGATTTAAGTATAAATTGAACAGGATAAACAGTTGCTAAAGCAGTATTACTTTTTGTTGCTGATGAATTTAATTGTTCACAAAGAATCATTAAGTCATTTAGATTATTTACATTTGTTGTATCATTTGGTGATAAATATGAACCTAATGAACCATAAAATGTTCGTCCAGCAATAGGAGTTAAATTTGTTAATAGTGAATTTTGACTACGATCTGTTGATCGTCGTTGTTTTATAGTATTTAATATTGGTGGTGGTGGTGTTGGTGAACGTGAATGTATTTCAGTTTTAAGATTTTCAATTAAATTATCTTTACTTTGTTCATTATTATTAATATCATTTGATGGAGAATGTGTGTGATCATGTGTTGATGATGCAGATGATCTTGAACGTGATTTTGAACGAGATGGTGAACGTGATTCATGTCTATTCGATGATTTTTTTTGTGGTCGAACAATAACAAAACGTCTAGATGTTGGACGATCAAGATAATCAATACGAAAACCTACGAAAAATAGACAGCTATTAGAATAATCACCTTTGTAGGATTAAAATATGAAACATGACATGATTGCTATTGCTAATCATAAGGGAATTGTTTTATTCTATCTATTTTAGGACACATTTCTCTATCATCGTTTTATTTAATCCTCCAGAAATGCAATCAGGAAGACTTTGCTGATATACGGTCTGTGATCGTATATTGTAGTCTACCATGGTCTCTGGCTAGCGTCTGCCATCATGGTCTCAGGCTAATATCTCTCACAGTCTCTGGCTAGCGTAGGCATAGCTTTCGTTTGATTCTATTTAAGGGGGAGAAGAGTTAAGAAAGAAATTCTCTCAAATATATAGAGAAAGCATTCATTCATCAGATATTTTTTCAGCTGAAGCTTTTAGTACTATCGTTATCAATCGTGAACACTTTTTCTTTCATTGCTATTCCTCGTGTCAGTAAATTCGTAAAGAAACTACTGATCAATGTAAGCATATATCTTTATTATACACAAAAACCGTCTACATTAACAGTTTCAAAAGTAATGTTTTTTTTTTCTAATAGTTGTATGGGGCTTTGTCTATTGTTCATATATATTGTAATATAGATGTGAATGTGAACGTTCTTCTTCTTCTTCTTCTTCTTCTCTTCATTCACATCTTTCACTATTGGGGAAAGTGAACAATGTGGATCTATTTTAAACTTTATTGCTTTACCTAGAAAATTGATCGTACGCCACCTATGGTATTCTACGAAATTTTTGTAAGCATCATATCCGAAAAAGTACACTATATTAGTATTTTATGGAAAATTTATGTAGTTTAAGATATTCATCGTATACCCAATAAGCTATTTGGTTGAAAGATATTCAGTAAAAGAACATTTGAAGTTGCTATTCAGATCTGAAGCTAAATTTCGCACATAATATTCTGTAGTATCTATTAAATGAATTTAATATATATTGACAATGAAACTATACTTTTGATATTTGTCTTATTTTCTATCTTTTTATATTACTCTTCAAAATATGACTTGATTTAGCTTTTCTTTGAAAGAAAAAAAAAAGACAGAAAATTTTCAGGGAGAAACGAAGAACGCAAGAAAAGAACGAAGAAGAGAACATCATCCTACTTTCTCTTTCTAATTGTATGTATTGAGTATTGGTCACAGTTCATGATGATTTCTAACTAGCGTATGTTACGGTCTATGATAGTCTCTAACTATTGTCTGTCCGAGAAAGGATTCAAATCTTTTGTTCCTATACTTCAACACTCCTTTTGAGATCGTATTTTACAAAATTAATAATACAAAATAATCTTATCTAATTGTATTTTCTTACCAAGACGTGATGATGATGATGATGATGATGATATATCAGGTTCATTATGTATTACTCGTCCATCAACAATTTTTATTGTACCATTAAGTTTTGTACGTGCTTTAATTGCATCTTCAATATCACTATAAGAAATAATAGCTGTTGGATCACCTGATGAATAATCAAATGTTTTAATTTGTCCATAACGTGAAAATGCATGTTCAAGATCATGTCGTTTTATATTAACGGGTATATTTCCAACCCAAAGATGTTTAGTTGGTACAATTTTGCCTGAAAAAATATATATAATACATATGGAGATATCCAATAAACATTTTCTTCGTGATATAATCCATTAAATATATATGCGTATTTATAAGTAAAGAGAAAGAAAGAATTTTTTGCAAACTCTCGAATAATTATTAATGTTAATATGTATATAATCAATGATGATTTTGATATTGTTGAACTGAAAAAAGAGAAGATTTCTGTCATCTATGAATGTATATAGTAAGAGATATAAGCCAAAATTCAATAGAGAAAATATCTTTCACCAATGAATCAATCTATCATCATTATCTTATTCTTATATCAAAAAGTATCATAGCAAAGAAATGGATAAATAGAAAGAATGCAAGAATTAAAGCAAAAGAATTGTCGAACAATAGCAAAAACAAAAAGAATATAATAGAGAGATAGAATTATATTAATAAAGGCAATTTTCATTCTTTTATATATATATATATATACTGAAATAAATGAATCATATTATATAGCACCATTATCAAATGAAAATATTATAAGCAAAAATTTCACCTTAAACCCACTTGACATACAGATATATTATTCATACATACATTGCTATTTTATCAAATATATTTTATCAATGAATAATAATCTGTAAATGACATGATGATTTATAATTGTTTTAAAATGTTTAGACATATATATGTATATGTAGTTTTGTTTTTTTTTTCTCATACGAATAATTATAGATCTATATCAATCTCTCAAATATAAATATATCATCATTATATAAAAATTCACATTAACTTGATGTGTTTAAGACAATTAATATAAAATTTATGTCAGAATCTCTAAAACGACAAGATTAATCAACATCAATATGAGAAAAGAACAAAAGAGAGATGAATATAAACATATAATGAAGCATATAGACACATACTCTATATATAAAAAAACTTGGGCATAAAAAAAAAGAGTGAGCGAACTTCTTTCTTTCTTTTTTTTTTTTGTTTAAGAAGCCATTCAATAAAGAAAAGGATTAAAACGAAACAAAAGATGCATAATTATTTACGCACCATAGCCAATTTTACAATCAACTTTTCCAATAGATCGACCATTCATAGCGCGACGTGCTTCATATGCCATGTCAACATTTTCATATTGAATAAATGCATAAGCACGTTTTGATGATGATGATGATGATGGTTTTTTAAGATCAACTAAATTGAAATCAATCTAATTAAATTTTCTTCATTAAAATAATTCTATAATTACTTTGTTTAATTGCTCCATAACGACCAAATAATTCTTCTAATTTTGATTCTGTTATATTTCGTTCAAGATTTTCAATTAATAAAGTACGTGTTGGTTCATTTTGAATATTAGAATCATTATCTAAATTAGTTCGATTTGATGATAATGATGATGTTCGATGATTATTTGGAGTTGGACTACCTTGTTGTTTATGATGATGACGACGAACAGGTGGTGGTGGTGATGATGATGACAATGATGCAGGTTCTTGTTGTCGACTAGATTTTTTTGTAACATAATCAACTAAATCGGGTGGTAATGGTATATATGGTGAATATTGTCGACGTTCTGGACGTGATGAACGAGAAGGAGATTTTGTACGTTGACGTCGTGATGATGAACGATGATGAGAACTAACAGGTGGTGGTGGTGGTGGTGGTGAAGGTGAAGGAATTGGTGGTGTTAGACGACGATGTCGTCGATTTGGTAGAGAACGTTCTCGAGAACTTTCAGGTTTCATAGGTTGTTCAGCTGGAATAGTTTTACGATAATAAACTCTAGATTATAATATAAATTATGTTTGATGAATAAAAAAAAAAAAAACTCCTTACGGTTCTAAAAGAACTTGCATATTATTCCAAACAAGACCTGTTTTAGCATGTTGAGCTTTTCGTGCATCTTCAGAATTTGTAAAATTAATAAATGCTACACGTTCTTGATTTCTATGATAAATTTTAACTGAATTTGTACCATATTTAGAAAATTTTTTACTACATAAATCTCGAATTTCTATTACAAAAAAAAAATAGAAAATTAAATAATATAATTCCAATTTTTTCTTTCTATTCACCTAAATCTGATATTTTTGGACTAATATTTTTTACACATATCGATGTATAATGACGAGATGGATCAGATCCACTACCATGATTACGATTATAAGGATCAATTGAATTTGATGGTTTTGAACGTTTTGATGGTGGTGCATTATCAGATGGTGAACGTGAATAACGTGTTCGACGAGAACCACCACCACTATATGAGCCTGGAGGTGAATTAATCATTACTTTGTTCGTTGATTTAATAGATTTTATATGTGAAGAAAAGAGAAAAAGAATATTAGATGCTTGATTGCCACTTGAGTATCCCGGAAAAAAGAGATGGTAAAAGGGAACAACAATAATAAATATGCCGTATGGTATTCCATGGATTTTAATGTGTGGAAAAAGAACTTTAGAATATTAATGCATTTATGCACTTGAATTTTTTATAAAATTTTTGTTTTATTTTAAATTCTTATGAAATTTTAATATTTTAGTAATAGAAATAAATTAAAATATTTGATTAAAAATGAAATGAAATACCGCGGAACAAAGAAACAATGACACATTGTCTTGTTCAAGCATAACTTTTTGATCCGATTTTTTTTTGTCACCAAAATAAAAAAAAATGCAACCAATACAGCAGTTAAAATCGGATATTGTACTAGCACCATCTCCACATCCAACAATCAGTTCTATTGTCGGAAAAGTATGTTTCAAATAACATATTTTCAATTATAAAATATATGATAGGTGTCAAATCATTTAAATTATTCTGATGAAATTTATTCAATCTAGATTAATAGTTAATCCGAAGCAGAGGCCATCAGGTACAAATTTTTAAGATCCGGACTCGGTTGTACCATACTTTGATACTCTAAATGATGTTTTCTAATCGGAATTGGATAATCGCTCCAAATATATAAGACAGTTTTTTTTGTATTCGGTGATTAGCGCGCCGTACACATTTCTCAGACGACTACTCAATGTCGTAGTTTCGGATAAAATGCTTTCTTTCATTCATATGCAAACCTATATATGCTATATATTCAATAGTATATGCAATTGGAATAAGAGCAGAATTAAGCTTGCGTTGAGTTTTTCAATTGAATTGTGCTTGAGAATTAATATTCATTTTCGTATAGGAAAACAATGAGCCATCTACACCTTTATCGATCAAACGAAAACAAGTATTAATTAATGAAAAGAATACAAATATTCTACAATTATGGGATCAAAAATTACGTTTATCAAATGATCGAATGGAGGTAATTTTTTTTTCTTTTCTTTTCTTTTTTGTTTATTATCTATATTTCTCTTAAGGCTTATGCTCTTAATGAAATGGCAAATATTGAACGATTACGTAATGTTGAACAATGCATAACTTCTACAGTTGATGAAATTACAAATGAATTTAAACAACGTATTCAATCGATTCTTTCAGATAATCAATTATTATTAAGTAATCCAGAAAATAAAAAGAAAACAAGTTTTTATTCATCCAAAAAAAAACAACTAATCATTTTTTTTCTCATTAAGCACAAGTACCGCATACATTAGCACCATCAACTCTTTTTAAAGATGGACAACAAATGACAAGTGAAGCATTTTTTGATGAGATGAATGTATAAGAGAATTTTCTATTTTCATTTTTGAATTATATAGATTTTTTTTTAAAATTTTTGTAGAAACGTTATTTTACTAATGATAAATCATTTGAAAAATATGCTGAAACAATAGAATTATTTCGATCAACATATTTAATATTAAAAAAAAATAATGATCAATTACGAACACAAATGAAAAATCTTGATATAAATCAAGAATTACTCAAAGTAAAAATTTTATAATAAATAATTCATTATATATATATATATATATTCTATTCCTTTTTTTTTAAATAGATGCAAGAACAATTAGAAAATATTTTATTAGAACGCGATAGTTATATATCATTATATACAATGGCTAAAATACGTGCTGAAAAAGCTGAAGAAAAAAATAAAAAAACTCATGAACAACAACAATCAATTGTTGAATTACTTGTTGAAAAATTTGGTTTTATTGATCGTATACTTGATACAAATACATTATTAGCACGTGATTTATTTAAACCTGATACAAATATTGAAATATTTATTAATTTTAATGTACAATTAAGTACAGGTGAACAAGGTTATATTGAAACAGCTAAAGGTTGTCCATCAGGAAAATTTAAAATTTGTATACCAAGTATGTATTAACAAAATGAAACATTATATTCTCTATTTGATAATATTTTTTTAGATGGTGTTTCATCTGAAACAAAAGAATTAATAATGAAAAATGATGATGAATCAATAGAACCAGTTCGTGTTATTCTTAAATTTCGAAAATATCTCTTTCAATCTGATATTAACTTAGATCAAACGAATTAATATTGATTGTATAAAGAATTCTTTTTTTTTTCTACTGTGTATTATATGAATGCTACCTTTGATGTTTCTTGTATAATAAAAAATATAATGATGTTTAATAAATGATTTATGATGAGAATAAACTAGCCTAAGGGTAATCAGTTACCGAGAACTTTTCAGAAGCTAACTACGATTGATGATTATTAATATTTACTTTGGACTATCTTAAGGCGTTATTTTGTATTTTTTGAGTGGAAAAGTGTGGATTTCCGAAAAATTTTCAATAGACTTTAGAACGGTTCATAAAACTTTCACTAATGCAGAAATTTCAATTCTGACCATCCCCGTGTTACTACATAGAACGTTCTTAACTGTTATGAACTGAGGCTGTCATATGATATGGATGTACCTGGACAGAAGATCACACCGACGCTTCAACTACCAGAATCGGATAAAGTTACCATCATATCCAATATGATGTGACACAAAAAAAAAATAATTTAAAAAGACTCTTCTTTATATTCTTCTGTATTTCTTGAGATTTATCATAGAAAAAAAAAGCTATTATTCATCGCTGATAATTCACCGAGGAAGTGAAAAAAAAAACCAACTTGAGAAAAAATGACGAAGATACGAGAATTATAAATAACAACCGATGAATTGCACAGGTAATAAAACAAAAAAAAGTATTACTCTTTTTTATTTCAATAGAACAAGTATAATGTTTCTATTGAATTTTATCTCATATATAAATTCAATAACAAATATAGTACACATATAAAACTAATTTATTAAATATCACTTTCACATGTACAGAAATGTTTGAAGACGTGCAATCATTCAAGAACATGTTATACTTCATTTAATAAGGTGTCTGAGTGAGATTGGCACCATATATATGTATCCTCCATCATACTCTTGCTAAAATAATTTTTTGTCTTGAATTGGTAATTATCAATCATTATTCTTTCAAAATTGCAAACAGGCAAAACTAAATTGAATACTCGATATGTTGGAATGAATTTTTATTTTCTGAACTTTCATTAAAATAATGTCCGTTTTGATTGTATGTCAATATTTTCAAATATGCAAAAAAAAAAAAGATCTTTTCGATTTAACATTAGATTGAAAAAGAAATTATTAATAAAAAAATATTGAAATAAATATAAAATATAGTCCGATGTTTTTAAAATATATGAGGTCTATTTTGTTTTTATCTTTCTTTTTTCAAAGTAAGAAACCACGAAACACTTGTTTTTCACTTGATTACTACTTATGAGATTTTACACAATGTGTAAAGCATTGTAAAAAATATCTAATATTTGAAAAAAGTTTTAATTCTTGACTTTTGTCCAGTCAATGCACAATATTTCGGACTCAATTGTGGGAAAAAATTATAAAAATAAAATTTACTGTTACTAGTACTCAAAGCTGAGCATTTTCCCTTTAGTGTTATTCGATGAAGATGTTCAAAATCACAAAGAAATAAATCGTTAAAAAAATCTACTTATTGAACAAGAAAACAAAATGAAAAGAAATATATTTAACATAATTTGCTGTGGCTACATTGGATAAGTATTCAATATCATAACCAAGCAGTACATCCAATGTTATTGTCAATAACAGTAACAAACATAATCTTTGGATTGTCCATGAATGAGAATCTATAGATAGTTTGTTTTTTTTTGTGCTACGACATTTTTATAACTATAATTTAGAAGTACATTATCAGCCGTATTGATAATTCTAAGTTTCTCTTTGTAATCACTATTTAGATAATCGACAATAAGTGAGTATGAATATCCATCGAAAACATTACTTATGCTACAAAGCTTATATTACTAAATGCAAGAAGTACAACAGTTATATCAGCAATAATAAGATCTATGTTACTGTTGCCGTTGAAATCGCTCATAACACATCACTGTTGATAACGATTAGAGTTTTGTAGGTAACCATTAGAGCAAAAATTATTGTATCTGTTGAAGTAATGAGAGAGAAAATAATCAATTAATTGCTGAATTATGCAATGAAACATACAAGATTTTCTTCTAACAGTCGAGTTTCATTATTTCACAATCCGAGATAGACCGACTGAAACTTCAATTCTATTTTATCATTCTGAAAAACTCATTCAAAAATAGCAAACAACTATTTGTATTCGTTTACACTAATTAACGTTATGAAAAATCTGTCAATTCAAGTTCACACTTGCATATCATTGTCTCATGATCTTGTATCTATCTCATTCTTGTAATCTTTCTAATGTTCATTTCAAAGAAAAAATGGATGAGGATTTCTTGAATAACTTTTGATAGAAATAGGATAGAGCGTTGCATCTTTTTTCATTGGAAAGAGGTGATGATGTAGAATCGAATCATATATTATAGGGTCTCCTAAGATGTTTTATGAAGCTTTTTTAATCAAATTTATAAAAAAAACTATCGGAAAAATTGTTCTTTTAACATAAGAAAAAAAAAACAAAAATGTAATTTTTTTCACAGCAATTACTTAAAAATTTGACTGAGAATCTTCACTAGAATGCCTATAACTTCTGAATAACTAAATCTAAAATTCTGAGACTTGTATAGTTTTGTAGATCTTCCATTGACAGTTCGAATGTACACTTGATAATTAAAAATTCACTATAGTCACTTCACAGGATACGTTGGTTTTCAAAACGGATCGATGCAAAAAACTACAGCGCTCTATCTTATTTCTATCAAAAGTTATTTAAAAAATTTTCAATCGTCTTTTCTTTTAAATGAGTATTAGTACCAAAATGTTCATTTTAACATGTTCTTTCTATTGATATATGATTCAATAGAATTGGCCAAGAAAAATACA